CTGCAGCTTTAAATAAAATATCTAACATTTAAATAGTTAAATGTCATGTAGTCAGTGACTAATTGTTGGCTTGTAGTTCATCATCTTTCCATAAAAAAAAGATTGCTTGATCATTTTTTCTTAGAATAACTTATTAAGCAGTTGAATACAAATGCATTGATAAAGACATTGTTATGGTTTTATATTAGGCATTAACAAACTTTTTTTTTTGTCAAATTGATAGAAACTGTCAAAATAGCTGAATCTCTACAAAATGTCTTTCATGTGAAATACTGAAGTCAGTCTAAGACTAACAGCATTTTTCAATTGTTATAATTATTGTGCAACCCATTTTCGTGAGCTCATATTAATTTTCAAGCATCATGGAATATTTTTACCATTTTACCCCTATTTGTCACCCTATAGAAATAAAGAATAGCAAGCATGGTTTCCTTCCAAAGTGGAATACCATGCAGTAGGTTCTCCACTAAGCTGTTTGCCTCAAAAACAGGTGTAAATAATAATCTGTCCAAAAGATTTTCAAGATGTATAATCTCACAGATCTGAATCTTTTTGAAAGGAGGTGGTTATCTGACCTTTGGGATCCACCTTATTTATAAATAACTACTTTAAGCTTTTTTTTCACAATTTGCTTTCTCTTATATGACACCAATTTATTGATTTAGAATTGCATAACTACCATTGATTTGTATTTGTATCTAACATTGTTCTTTTTCCACATTGTAGGCCTACTTTTCTCACATCAAGTGCCAATTTCCCTTACGGACTTCAGTCTGTACCACACAGAATATGCCACTTATAGACCTCGTGCGCTAATAAGTCCCAATCCCATTAGATGGCTTAAAATGAGAAAAGCCCTCAGAGATCAAGTTTAAAACAGCAAAAGAACCTAGAGCTAAATAAAGCCCAGTTTTTTAAGTCTTAGACTATCCGTAAGCTTCTTTTTTTTGTTTACTGGAGGCACTTTTAGAAGAGGCAGAGAAGCTGATCTACTTAGAACAGGGTTCCCACCCTTTCATGAACACCAGATTCAAGGACTTTCAAGGACTTTTTCAAGCACCATTTATTTTATATCAAGCACCTATCAAATTCACACCCCAGCATATGTAGTGTCATGAAAGACCTTACAGTACTTAACATTTCACTACTTACACTTAACATTTACGTTAAACATTTCAGAGTAATAATGTTTTGAATGTGTAGGTTTCATAAATTTAGACCGTTTTGAGCAGTCGTGTTCAAAGGAATTTAATGAAATCCATTGAAGTCAGTACTGGTAATATTCAAATTACATTTCTAAAATATTGATAAAATATGCATCAAACTGATTTTTGCTGTAGTTCTTGTACAAGATTTAAATTTGAAAGAATTTCTCAATTTTTAAATTAATAAAAAGTGGTTAAATGTTGTAATAACATGGTAAAAGCTGATAACATTACAAATTTGCACATTCACTCAAAAGATACGTTACTCATTAATAAATAAACTCAAGTCAAAATAATTTTGTAAATTACTTTTTATTGTAAATCCCATTTTTTCATCTTTGACCTAGAGGAATGCAGCTGCTCAAACATGCAGCTGCTCAAAAAGTCAGTAATGAACATTTTAAACCTTGTACATGTGCAAATCTGCAAAAAAATATTAAGAAAAGAAATTTAAAAAATAGGACTTTCGATTTGCTTTTAAACTGTAAACGCTTTTCACTAAGCTGCTTTTCCATGTTTTCAAGTTCTACATTTTCTCCATGTTGCAGTAAGTTTTGGGAGTTCATTTTTAGTCCATCTCCTATCCTGAGAAGTCT